TGAATATCTGACATGGGAAAGAGAGGGGAAGATCACGGTTACTAATACCTTGGAACCCACAGAAAACTTAATGACAAACACAACATTGGGAGAGGGGGGTTTAGGACAGTTTACAAACCACACCTCTCTATTTGCCAAGTCGTTAAACAAAAAAAGTCAACCGATCAGACAGAAACGACAACCCATCAACAAACTATCATGGCTTTGAGAACGCAATCAGAATATTGACAGAGGTAAGACACACAAACGACATTCCAAGGACGGTTGCATACACTGGGTTTAAGAGTATGCAGAGATAGGAAACTTGGGAAAGTATTGACATATGCTTAATAATACTCTCAGTGTACATTATACCCCTCCCCCACACGTTAAACATTGCATATTGATCTGTGTACCAAATTGTTTACAAAAAACCTACAGTTATATCTATTCTTGGATTACCTAGTATAAGTGTATAACGGAGAAGTTATTCTAGGGTCTTTCCAAGAAAGTTCCCCATGGTTTGGACTGCCAAACATTTTGCAGGTTTTAGGGGTAATCTATGAGGATATGCTTTACTGGGTGAAGAAGTCCTCAAATGTACACGAACTGGAAGATGAAGTGCTAATAACCTAAGAGGATAAGACACAGGGAATCGTGGAGGATGAATTACTCCAAAAGATTCAAAGGAGTAACTATATAACATGTATGTAAAACGTGATGGGTATGTATAAAAACTTTTTTATACATAGGTTCCATTCCTTTTGAGGTTCCAGGTATTCATTTGAGAATCTTATTTGGTTTTCCGTAAAACCAAATTTATAATAACGTAGAAAGTTCAAAAGGGTAACGGAACATTTTGAGGAATCAACATTGTAAAGTAAAAAATATAAATTGGTAATGGGAAACATGATTAAAATATCACACAAGAGATCAAGCCATGAGAGAGGGGGTGCTATCAAAGATCATGAAACTTCTAGCTATCCCCTGTAGATCCAATGCTTGGCAAAAGAGTGATGTTGTATTGTAGAGGATATGTGGTTTGGCGAATGAGAGAGCTGTTTTGTTCACCTCATATGTGCTTCGTGTTCCCCATGGTTTGGACTGCCAAACATTTTGCAGGTTTTAGGGGTAATCTATGAGGATATGCTTTACTGGGTGAAGAACTCGTCAAATGTACGCGAACTGTAAGATGAAGTGCTAATAACCTAAGAGGATAAGACATAGGAAATCGTGGAGGATGAATTACTCCAACGGCTTCAAAGGAGTAATTGTACAACATGTATATAAAAAGTGATGGGTATGTATACCATATATAACATACTGCTTGAGGCAGGGGTTGAGCTGAGCCTCTCAGACTTTGGCACGGGAAAACTGTTGAGTGCTGAAACATCCAACTGGACTTCGGTTACAGGCTCTTATAGCTACATGGCCTCAGGTATTATGCAATCTAACCAACTCTTAATTTTAAAAGGCATGGGGCGGCATGAGGTGATTTCGTTGATTTACCCGAGACGCGAGGCGTGCGCGCCACGGAACTTAACAGTTAACAATATAACTTTGGTAAATTGTATTTGTACCAGTTCTACAAGAAGGCCTCTATCCAAAGATGATAACTTCATTAAAACACCTCAAACCATGAAAGTCTCGCTTTATTAACACCAAAAGTAACCACAAAAACTAAAAATTCAAATAGTAACAAGAAAAATGTCAAATGCCCATTTAAAAGTAAATTAAAAAGCAACATAGCAAACTGTCAAGCAAAGTAGTGTACTCATAGACAATTAATAAGAATTTGTTAATAAGGGTAATTGTACGCATGGCTAAGTTAATGTAATTGTAACTTATAGACTATTAGAGAAGTTCTGTTTTTAAAAAGTAAATAAAGTGGGATTGACTGTTTTTATTTCGGTAAAGATTAAAAAATAAACAATCAAAGCTGCAGATCAATTTAGATGCTTGAAAACCGAGCGCCACCTACCCAAACAAAAATATGCGCTATACAAACGTTGGGCGCCGCCTACCCAGACACAAAAGCGGTCTCTATGGCTGACTTTGCCTATAATCAAACACCCATGCTATGCATTTACAATAATTTCAAGTAAAAGTAGTAAAATTCCAAGTAAAATGACATACCTTTTAGTTGGAACAATGCTTGCACAAGATTGCTTGCAATCTAGTCAGCTCTAGATGGAACAAAAAGACAAAGAGCATTAGTCCTAAAAAAGTTATGACGTGAAGTTATAGTTAAAAAGTTACACATTAATATGTTAATTTTTTAATCACAAATAATGGAAAAATAGACACCATCCTCATAAATTAATATATGCCAACAGATATTCGATAAAAAGGCGGTGAAATCATAAGTTGCAGCCATGTGATTTGTTTCGTGAGGGATGTACATTTCTAAGTTTATTATATTTAGTCTTTTCTTTTCTGTTTTTTAAACATCCTGAGATTTGAACACGGTTAGATTGAAATGATTGTGGGCTTTAAGAATGTCATGTTAATATAGGTCACACGAACATGGTGAAAACAGAAAGTTGTGTTTAGCGGGTTTGCAAGTAGTTGAGGTACTAAACAGAGTCTTAGAAGTCTGTTATACTACTAAATGAACTTACAGAAGTAGTATTAAGTAGTCTTAAGTACTAAAATGGTTTCTGTCTTCTCATCACAATTCCATGTAATTCAAGGAGTGTATAACATCACTTAGTCCCAGACTCCCAGACCTGCCTAAGCCACATGCTTGGAGATATACTACGTGTATAACATCAGTTGGTCCCAGACTCCCAGACCTTCCTAAGCCACATCCGTGCAGATATACCACGTATATAACATCACTTGGTGAGTTGGTGTTCAAGAATGATTCACCAAACATGAGCCAATGATCTTATTTGGTGTGAACTCGTATCTAATTTCTTAGCATCCCTGAATATGGACTACTTATTCCATTTTAATCAAATAAGTACCTGGAAAACTACTTATTCTAATTAATCTCTGTATTCTATCGATAAGAACAATTAACCAATTATCAATGCCAAATAGGTAGTAAGAGCTTTGGTTCTATCATATATATGAAGTCATGAACCCAATAATAGTCTTCATACCAATATTAAGAATTAGTTATCTGCTCTAATAAGTTTTTAGGAGAAGCAATGCAAAACTTTTGTGTTTTCATATGCTAATATTATTTTTCTCGTGTGACTTAGAATTTGCAAGATTTTTGGTCTGGATAATAGAAACGTTTTGACTTCCCAAGTAGATTGCGGTTCAACTATGGAGTGATATTAAAGATTCTTTGGCTTTTCTAGCATTCCTGGGGACATTTTCAGTTTTTTTTCGAATTGGTCTTGTGATTGTACTTATCAGTACTTTTATTCATATTTTTCTATTTATCTCTTTGGTTATACTGAGGTTATATCCCTCTGTTTGCTCTCATCCTTTTTATTCCCCAACTAACAATGTTCTGAGATGTGTCCTAAATGGTTGCAAGTGATTTTACTTTTAACAAGAGTCTTCAAATTTGAAATAATATGACTCATATCCAGTTTAGTCATTTGAATTATTATTGAAAACCTCGCTCTTGAAGTGAGTCCTCTTCCCTTAGTGGGCGGAAGAGTTATAGTTCAAGCTACCTGAGCTAACTGCTTTTCACTCGAAGTCAACTTCACTGCTCTTAGAACGGAGTCGACATCAAAACTGAACTTCCAAATTCACTTGCGCTTACGATACGACAAATTCATAACTCAGTGATCGTGTTGTATATTTTGGTTTAAATTCATTTATGCTACATAAATAGTTTAAGGATTTGGATTTGATTAGTTTTTGTTAAGGTAGAAGTTATAGTTTGTGTTTTAGAAGTTACATGTTTTGTTTTAGAAGTTAAGCTTACTTAACTAGTTGTTATATTGATGAGTGTAGTCAAGAATTGTCATTTGCGCTTACGACATGATAGATTCATAACTCCGTGATTGTGTTGCTTATTTTGGCTTAAATTGATTTATGTTGCATAAATAATATTTTAAAGCTTTGTAATTTATTAGTTTTTGTTAAGGTAGAAGTTATGGTTTTTGTTTGCTAAATATGATTTTCCCCACCTCTAGAAATGAGAAGAAATTTGAACAAACCAATGAACATCAGATTGGTGCTAAATATGGGCATATAAGATCTGCGGTCTTAGGATGTGACACCCCAAAAGTTTAAATAAAATAAATAATTTTATTAGTCAAATAAAATAAGAGATATTATAATAAATAAGTGAATCAGATAAAATTTTAACATCAGTAACAACTTTAATTAGATAAAAATGTTTCATTAATAAAAGTGATATTCTAACAATCTTAATTCAAAGGTGTATCAGATAATAATACGTGTACACAAATACTCTAAAATAATACGGAGTATGAAGCAATATTAAAAGAGTTGGTACTTTGGAAATTTAACGCCTACATACCTATCTGCCATACCCAATAACTATATCATACTCCGTACATATCAATAATATGCTAGATATCTATTCATAACCATATCAATTATCATACATAAGAATAATGCATTTAAATGGCCATATACATGCATGCCATCAAAAATGAATGACCAAGGCACATGCCTATGCCATAAGCTAATCGATGAGGCTGGATACATACAACTAATTAAGACCTTTGGCTGATTCTAGACATGTCTTGCGACTTGCGAACTACTACTACACTTCAACCGAGCTACGTGTTCTTTCCTCCGCCAAGAGAAAACCAGCGAGTATTCATTCACATATATAAAAATACTTACTTATATACGGAGGTAGCACTACGGAGTACAAAACAATAATGCAATATAATAATGGCAGCAACACTTCGATCACACCAGCATGAATAATTGCATGTGTTCTATTGCACAACAGTACGTCGGCCGCCCATACTCAATCCCACTAGACATACACTCGGCTAATCATGCGTAGGAGTACCGATAAGCTTCAGCAGACAAGTATAAATAGGGATGAGGAGTTAAGCTATTCTGCACACCAAGAAAATTCAGTAATGTGTATATATACATATACACGTATATATCTATATACGAGAATTCAACCCTTCGTTAACATAAAAATAGAGCGTCAAAAACACTTCTAAAACATTTGCCTTCGAGAGAGGAATCTAATGGCAAAAGAATCACTGAAAACGGTCATGAAACGAGGGAGAAATCGTTCACCGGAGTCCGTCGGAGTATTACCGGACCGGTTTTCACGCTGAGGGATCGTGTCTCGATCTCTTCGCCGGAGTACAGCTGTACGCCGGACTGATTTGATAACGTCGGACGAGGTCGCTGCCACCAAACATCGCCATCGAGCCACCGCTGCCGTGTCTTGCCTAGTGTTGAGTTGCTGCAGACACGATACATGTACTGTAATCTTGCCTCTATTACTTCGTACGTTGTTTTGTCTTAATTATGCGAAGTATTAACTGTTGTCTAAGCTGGAGTATGAAGATGGGCTTGGTTTTAACCAAACAAGAAGGATTAACTATTGAACTGGTTAATAAATACTCCGTATATTACTAGTAATATAAAACTGGCAGAAATAATAATAAAACTACATTATTTTAAGGATACTAAAAAGGGATATGTAACCATGAAAATTTGACAGAAGAGGAATAATCAGAGAATCGAATTATTCGGCAGATGAATTATATTTAATTATTTTTATAGAATTATAAAAATAGGCTGATTAAACTATTAAAGTAAAACGAATTGGATGGAATAAAACAAACGTTTGACATTCCAGTTGGGTCAGATAATTAAACAGATTGAACCAAAGGGGTTATTTCCGATTAATGAATTACTATTCAAATAAATGAATATAAGTGATTATTCATGAATGAACGAATCTAAATCATAATTGATTAGTAATTCTCAAAGGACTAGAACAATTATTAATTCTAGAATTTTAAATATTCTTAGAAGGTTATTTTGGTGAAGATTGAGGTTTAAAGCTTCGGTTAGGAATATCACGATTGAGGTAAGTACTATGTCAACCAAGTTTCATGCTTTTCCCATATAAATTTATTTGTGACTAGTTATTTGAGATCATTTGAGTATATGATAGTTAATGAGATTTTACGTATCAATTGTGATTGTGAATTATATATATTCGAGATTTGAGTATTTTTATATTGAGTGATATTTTGAGCATTTGAATGTACATATGAATTGTTATTGGATTGAGATTTGAGATTTGAGCTATTCATGAAGTATCCTATATTTTGGACTATTTATGTAATATTTGAGTATGATGAGTTGGAGTTAATAATTTCATTGTGAATAATTTTGTGGAATTTGGATTTCATATCCATTTGATTGATGTTATGATACTTGAAATTGAGATTGGATTATGATTTTTGTGAGTACTCGGAGAAAGGTGGATTTGGTGAGTGGTAATGGCTATAAGTCTAATTCCACCAGGGATCTCCCAAAAGTGGAGCATCCCAGCTTAATTGTAGTAGTCGGTAGAAAAATCCCGACTACTCAGACTTTTTACTACCCGGAGAGCTTGGAATCTCTTTTAGGGGGTGTGCACACTTAAGGTAGGAGTTCGGCTTCCATTGGATTTGATTGAGTTTGAATGATTGGATTATATTGGGATTTATTTGGACTTGGATTCCATTGGTATTGAGATGAATTGGTTTCGAGGCTTTGAGGTGAATTTCATTGGAATTGAGGTGATTTGGATTATTTTGTTGGACTTGATTGAGTTGAATTGAATTATATTATACTAGATTATTTGAGTGTGTTATATTTTTTGGATTGGGTTGAAATTGAGGTGGTTGAAGTTATTAAATTATTTATGGATTTCCAAAGTAATACTTTTGGTTTTGATTAAATATATGTACCTATATTTGGAATAATATTATTTTACATGTGATTTGTGATGAGAAATTTGTATAAAGTGTTTTATAAGGTTTCCTCCCAAATGTTTTCACAAAATGATATATATGTATCAAACATGATTATTTTACAGGGTTGGGTGGGCCTTACTTAGCATTTCCAGCTAATTTTTGTTTCTTTGTGTTTTTCTTTCTGTACTTTATTTGTGCAGGAATTGAGGATCATATTGAAGTTGATTTCGAGAGCTTCCGCTAGAACACATAGACTAAAGTGATTAAGTAATTTATTTTAGTCTTAATTTTAAAGAATTGTAGTTGAACAGTTAATTATGGAAAATTTTAATTTGTTGGTGGTGGATAGCCTGTGCACTCGGTTATGTGAGAACCGAGTGTGGCGGTAACGCCCCTGTTTCCCTTTGAATTTTCTGTTGCAAGACTCTGATGTTTTCGAATAAATCATTAGTTACTTTGAATAAATCATTATTCAAATGTATTTTTGGGTGGGAAATTTGGGGGTGTTACAAGTTGGTATCAGAGCCTTTGATTTTTAAATTGGGAATTTTCAAACAAAACTTTCCTTATGTGACTACGATCTTCAAAAAGACTCTCTTTTAAAATCGATTGAAATTTTTCAAAAAGTTTCCAGAAACGTTTTTTTTTCTTCTTTGAAAAAAAAATTTATATCGATCTTTTAATGCTCTTATACAAAAAGAAAAAGAAATTTAGGAATAATAAGTCTTATTAAAAAAAAAAAAAAGAACAAGTCAAGGAAAAAAAAACCTAGGATACGGGTGAGATGTGAGATTTTGAAATCTATTTTGATGGAGTTTGTGGTTCTTTGAATTGTTTGAGTTATACTTATATGAGATATATCACTATTGACTCAGTTGAGAATGAGTTTGGACTTTTAGAGGAACTTACCAAATTATGTGAGTAATGAATTAATAGTGAAGGTAGTATAATTGTGAATGTCATTGATATACTTCGTGTCCTAAACATTATTCTTTCAAGTAGACAATGAAGTCAACGAGAACCAAAATAGAAGACAATATCGCCGCACCGACGAATGCGGAGTTGGCTCAAAATGTGGTTCAACTCATCCAGACTATCGGGAGTGTGTTAATTCAGAACCAACACCAACAACGTCTCAAAAACCGCAATGATGTAGCGAAACTTGTAGCGAAGCGCAATCCACCGTGTTATTTAGGCCAAGAAGATCCTCTCATCCTTGAGGATTGGATTCGCACTTTCGACAAACTCTTCGATGCTATAAACTGCCCTACAGATCAACGAATTAATACGGCTGCGTACTATCTACGTCAAGAAGCAGACAATTGGTGGGCCACGACTGCCCTAACGTTGCGTCAACAACCCGACTTTTCTTGGGAGACGTTCAAGGAGGAAATGCGAAAGAGATTCTACCCAGAGCACGTGAGAGCTGAGAAGTATGAAGAATTCTTACACCTGAAGCAAGTAGGCATGACTGTCCAAGAGTATCACGCTAAATTCTTGAATCTCGCACGATTTGCTCCCACGCTAGTTCCCGATGAAATCGAGAAAACTAACAAGTTTATACGCGGTCTGAACTTCGAGACACAAAAAGCTCTTTGCGTTTCAGAATGTCAAACGTTGAACGATGCCTACAACAAAGCTGGCAAGCACTATCGAGTGCAACAACTCCAGAAGAAAACACTCAAGAGAGCGAGGAAGGGGACCGAAGAAGAAAGCAAACGGGGAGGCAAACGACACAAGCTTATAAATCAGCCAGGGGAGACCCACATTGGTAACAAGATCAACAACCAAGGCCAAGACCAGAAACGTAAGAAGAAGAACCACACCGAGAAGACACACTTCTATTGCTCGAAGTGTGGAAAAGATCACCCTGGGAAATACTGTGACAGAACACTTGTACGATGTTTTCATTGTGACAAGCTTGGACATAGGGTGTTCGAGTGTCATTCAAGGAAGAAAGGAATCCCTCCAACTCGTGGACTCAATCATCATGGAAAGAATGCTAAACACAACGGAAGAATATGAAAATACTAAGACGAAATTACATAAAATCTCTAATCTTCAATATTAGTAAATCTGTTTGACGATTATGTATCGTTTTGGTCTTGAATGAATAATCTATAAATTCAATACTTCGCGGGCGAAGCATTCTTTTAAGGAGGGTAGAATGTGACACTCCATAAATTTAACAAAAAGAATTAACTAAGATGTAATATCTGCTATTTGTACATATGGATATTTTTTTAACTTATGCTTCGGGACGAAGCATCTTTTAAGGAGGGTAGATTGTGACACCCCAAAAGTTTAAATAAAATAAATAATTTTATTAGTCAAATAAAATAAGAGATATTATAATAAATAAGTGAATCAGATAAAATTTTAACATCAGTAACAACTTTAATTAGATAAAAATGTTTCATTAATAAAAGTGATATTCTAACAATCTTAATTCAAAGGTGTATCAGATAATAATACGTGTACACAAATACTCTAAAATAATACGGAGTATGAAGCAATATTAAAAGAGTTGGTACTTTGGAAATTTAACGCCTACATACCTATCTGCCATACCCAATAACTATATCATACTCCGTACATATCAATAATATGCTAGATATCTATTCATAACCATATCAATTATCATACATAAGAATAATGCATTTAAATGGCCATATACATGCATGCCATCAAAAATGAATGACCAAGGCACATGCCTATGCCATAAGCTAATCGATGAGGCTGGATACATACAACTAATTAAGACCTTTGGCTGATTCTAGACATGTCTTGCGACTTGCGAACTACTACTACACTTCAACCGAGCTACGTGTTCTTTCCTCCGCCAAGAGAAAACCAGCGAGTATTCATTCACATATATAAAAATACTTACTTATATACGGAGGTAGCACTACGGAGTACAAAACAATAATGCAATATAATAATGGCAGCAACACTTCGATCACACCAGCATGAATAATTGCATGTGTTCTATTGCACAACAGTACGTCGGCCGCCCATACTCAATCCCACTAGACATACACTCGGCTAATCATGCGTAGGAGTACCGATAAGCTTCAGCAGACAAGTATAAATAGGGACGAGGAGTTAAGCTATTCTGCACACCAAGAAAATTCAGTAATGTGTATATATACATATACACGTATATATCTATATACGAGAATTCAACCCTTCGTTAACATAAAAATAGAGCGTCAAAAACACTTCTAAAACATTTGCCTTCGAGAGAGGAATCTAATGGCAAAAGAATCACTGAAAACGGTCATGAAACGAGGGAGAAATCGTTCACCGGAGTCCGTCGGAGTATTACCGGACTGGTTTTCACGCTGAGGGATCGTGTCTCGATCTCTTCGCCGGAGTACAGCTGTACGCCGGACTGATTTGATAACGTCGGACGAGGTCGCTGCCACCAAACATCGCCATCGAGCCACCGCTGCCGTGTCTTGCCTAGTGTTGAGTTGCTGCAGACACGATACATGTACTGTAATCTTGCCTCTATTACTTCGTACGTTGTTTTGTCTTAATTATGCGAAGTATTAACTGTTGTCTAAGCTGGAGTATGAAGATGGGCTTGGTTTTAACCAAACAAGAAGGATTAACTATTGAACTGGTTAATAAATACTCCGTATATTACTAGTAATATAAAACTGGCAGAAATAATAATAAAACTACATTATTTTAAGGATACTAAAAAGGGATATGTAACCATGAAAATTTGACAGAAGAGGAATAATCAGAGAATCGAATTATTCGGCAGATGAATTATATTTAATTATTTTTATAGAATTATAAAAATAGGCTGATTAAACTATTAAAGTAAAACGAATTGGATGGAATAAAACAAACGTTTGACATTCCAGTTGGGTCAGATAATTAAACAGATTGAACCAAAGGGGTTATTTCCGATTAATGAATTACTATTCAAATAAATGAATATAAGTGATTATTCATGAATGAACGAATCTAAATCATAATTGATTAGTAATTCTCAAAGGACTAGAACAATTATTAATTCTAGAATTTTAAATATTCTTAGAAGGTTATTTTGGTGAAGATTGAGGTTTAAAGCTTCGGTTAGGAATATCACGATTGAGGTAAGTACTATGTCAACCAAGTTTCATGCTTTTCCCATATAAATTTATTTGTGACTAGTTATTTGAGATCATTTGAGTATATGATAGTTAATGAGATTTTACGTATCAATTGTGATTGTGAATTATATATATTCGAGATTTGAGTATTTTTATATTGAGTGATATTTTGAGCATTTGAATGTACATATGAATTGTTATTGGATTGAGATTTGAGATTTGAGCTATTCATGAAGTATCCTATATTTTGGACTATTTATGTAATATTTGAGTATGATGAGTTGGAGTTAATAATTTCATTGTGAATAATTTTGTGGAATTTGGATTTCATATCCATTTGATTGATGTTATGATACTTGAAATTGAGATTGGATTATGATTTTTGTGAGTACTCGGAGAAAGGTGGATTTGGTGAGTGGTAATGGCTATAAGTCTAATTCCACCAGGGATCTCCCAAAAGTGGAGCATCCCAGCTTAATTGTAGTAGTCGGTAGAAAAATCCCGACTACTCAGACTTTTTACTACCCGGAGAGCTTGGAATCTCTTTTAGGGGGTGTGCACACTTAAGGTAGGAGTTCGGCTTCCATTGGATTTGATTGAGTTTGAATGATTGGATTATATTGGGATTTATTTGGACTTGGATTCCATTGGTATTGAGATGAATTGGTTTCGAGGCTTTGAGGTGAATTTCATTGGAATTGAGGTGATTTGGATTATTTTGTTGGACTTGATTGAGTTGAATTGAATTATATTATACTAGATTATTTGAGTGTGTTATATTTTTTGGATTGGGTTGAAATTGAGGTGGTTGAAGTTATTAAATTATTTATGGATTTCCAAAGTAATACTTTTGGTTTTGATTAAATATATGTACCTATATTTGGAATAATATTATTTTACATGTGATTTGTGATGAGAAATTTGTATAAAGTGTTTTATAAGGTTTCCTCCCAAATGTTTTCACAAAATGATATATATGTATCAAACATGATTATTTTACAGGGTTGGGTGGGCCTTACTTAGCATTTCCAGCTAATTTTTGTTTCTTTGTGTTTTTCTTTCTGTACTTTATTTGTGCAGGAATTGAGGATCATATTGAAGTTGATTTCGAGAGCTTCCGCTAGAACACATAGACTAAAGTGATTAAGTAATTTATTTTAGTCTTAATTTTAAAGAATTGTAGTTGAACAGTTAATTATGGAAAATTTTAATTTGTTGGTGGTGGATAGCCTGTGCACTCGGTTATGTGAGAACCGAGTGTGGCGGTAACGCCCCTGTTTCCCTTTGAATTTTCTGTTGCAAGACTCTGATGTTTTCGAATAAATCATTAGTTACTTTGAATAAATCATTATTCAAATGTATTTTTGGGTGGGAAATTTGGGGGTGTTACATAGGATTTTTACTAAAAGTTTATCTTTTGATTTAAAAGTTATGCTTCCTAGATTACAAGTCATACTTTTTGGATTACAAGTTATACTTTTTGGATTGCAAGTTATACTCACTGTTTTAGAGGTCTTGGGAGTTTTACTTTATTACTTTATGGAACTACACAAAGAAATTATTTAATTTATTAATGAAAGTGAGAAAGTGCGAGTTTTGGTGCATTTATTAGTGACTACATTGTATATGACATTATTATTTTCTATTGGTTAACTTACAAGTTATGATATACTTTATAAAAGTTATTATTTATGTTATATTAGTATCAGTCCAGTCTACTTCTGGAGACATGTTTTTGAATTGAACAAGATGAAGTTATAACGCATGTACATATCATGTAGAAGTATTATGTGAAATCCTAATATTCATAAGAAGTTCTTGTAATCTAATTTATCTTATTAAAAGTTGCAGGGACTTGCAGCAACTTGATTTAAACAAGACCTCTTATAATACTAGTTCTATTTGCTTTTAAAAATGACATGTTACATATCAAAACCAACAACTTATGAGTTTTAGAAACTTTAGAGCCTGGATAAGTAAAATGACCAATAGATCAAAATGATCAACTTTTAAACATTATGTGATAACTTTTTAAGATGGAAAGTTATATGATTTTCTTATAGCCTATTAGCTCAATTGGAAGAGCATCGTGTAACCGCACGAAAGATGTGAGTTCGAATCCCACATAGGCTATCTCAACAAGTGGATTGATTTAATTTTTCTCAACTTCAATTTCATGTATATGCTCCATTTATTTTAACTCTAGAACTTGGTAGATTATGCAAATGTCTTTGTTAGAGTAGTGACATGTTTATGTTAGATAAGTATATGATGAAAGGTATTAATGGAGTTGATCTTAATTAACCAGATAATGAAGATCCAGTGTATGTGATGCCTGGAACAACGAGGAAGCCTCTTTCTTTTGTGTTACAGATGATGTTTCTTTGTGCCAGGGATGTGACCACAAAGTCCACTACGCTAACAAAGTTGCTAGCAAGCACCACAGATTCCTTAAAATCGTACCCTATTTCTTATATATAACCCCCTTCTAAATGCTAATATCTAAATCCATACGTCCTTTACGGCTTTACTAGAGGAGAGAACACCTACATACTATAATATCTCACTCGAGATTATTTGAGGAAATTAGCCCATATAAGTGTGAAACATGACCAAAAAGCAAAAACAAGATTATATGTTTTATATTCCTATACAGGCTATACAAAGAGCATTTAATAGAGGTTTATGTTATCTGTGTGTTGTTGTATAGAAGGGACAATTAAAACTTGGTTGCTATAAGATATGGTTATTATAATCATCTTGGTTGCTTTATTTCCCAACATACAATTCGGGCTACAAATATTTTATTCATCAAGTTTCTTTATCAATTTCTAACTAACAATGTATACAAAAAGTGTTACTCAACCTAACCTCATCAATTAATAGGTCTACAATGGTCTTGGGCATTTACACGAACGCGCATAGCGCGTTGCTAAACTAGTGTAATAATATGGAAGAAAACGTGTATTTTGACATCCATTTGACAATTTTGCCAACTATATGGCAGATTTGCATATGACATTACGGTAGAAAAATATTGTTTTCTTTGAAACGAAATGTCAAATATTATGAGAGAAACTGCCAATATAATGTTCAATTTTTTTTTATAAAAGATGACAAAATTATTTTTATTGTTGTCAACTTCGTTTCGTTTTTATAATTTTGTGTATTGGGTTCATATTTTGCCAACTTTTTGGCAGAAAATGGTTACTTTGACATAAATCACAACATACTTCCACTTTTATGGCAAATCTTATGTTAATATTACGGCAGAAAAAATCTTATTTTATTCCACTTTTATGGCAAATCTGATATTTGACAAATCTAATATATAGCATGATTTTTAGGTATCAAAATGGCAGATTTGCATCTACAACACTGACAGAGATGGTTGTACGTGGGTGGAGTGGTGGAACCGGAAAGAGCGGCAGCAACAACGGAAAGGTCAGCGGTGGCGGATCCGGAAAGGGAGGCGGCGGTTGGGTGGTGGCTGTTTTTTCTGGCGGCGGCAGTTAGGTGGTGGCGGATTGCTTACTGGCGGCGGCAGTTGGGTGGTTTTTCCGTCAAAAGCTATGCGATCAGGGTTGTTTTTTATTTTTGTAATTGTAAATAGAATTAGTTATTAGAAATCATTAAGGGTAATTTTGTCTACTAAATACATTTTTAGTCCTATGAAACATGGAAGTCCTATTTGTGCAATCTAATGTTGTTTAATTCCCTAACTCTTCTGATGATGCTTTTCACTAAAATTTATGTCCAGTTTGTGCCTCATATGGTTGCAAGTTATACCTGATTGTACTTTGACATAATTCATTACAAGTTATACCTGATTGTACTTTGATATAAATATATAATTCACCACCCTGATCTGTTACAAAAAAAAATGTTGTTCCACATAAAATTTGTGTCTTGATCAGTGTTCTAAAAGGCGGTCATGAGGGAAAGCAAAAGGTCCGTCAGATGAGGCCCGCTATAGGTGAACCCTTAGTGGCAAGCCTTAGGTCTGTAACTCAAGAGGGATTTTATATAGGCAGTGGAAGGACGAACTCTTCATCACCTCCGGGGAAACACATAGCGTAGTAATATAAAGCCTAAAGGGGGAGAAACCATTCTACGACTTACAAGCCATTTGAATAAAATCCCAGCTACATGAAATTAACCAAAAACTATGCTACTAAAGTACTAAGTATTACTCTGTACTTCATACTGAAATTATTGTAATTCTTTTTATTCTCCTTATTATTATTAATTTGACTTTGTATTATTATCATCTTGATCACCTGGCTATTTTTCTAAATCTATTTTTTGAAAAATAATGATGTTTTAATTGGATTGATTTTTATCACATCTCAATTTCTATCAATTAGATCATACCAGACTTAAACAGATCAGGTGAGACTAATTTTTGACAATGACAAAATACATATAAAATAAACAGATGCAAGAAAGATCAGACCAAACACGTTGAGAATAGACCAAGTAAGTCCAGAAATTTTCAATTCAATTAAAAACATCCAATTGGAAATTGTGTTCTTAGAACATTATAAATTTACTTTTATTTGAAATTCAGATAATGGTGTTTTTCGCATAATATTATGTAGTATTCTCTCATTCCGTTAAGATTGTCTCTTATTTTCTTTTCAGTTCGTTCTACTAAAATTCTTACTTACCAAATTTGGTAAAGTTTATGTGATTCTAAATCATTATTACTTTATAAATTCGATATCAATCATATAAATTCTCTTTTCTTAATAAGTTTACCACATCTTCACCTCTTAATGTTAGTGGAACAGAAGTAGTGCTAAATTTACATTATAATAAGTGTTAAGAAAATTAAAATTATGATGAAATAATCAACACGTCTTTTCACGCCTACGCCTCGCCTAAACTCGCCTAGGCTTCAAAGGCTTGAGCTTTGTCGTGCCGTCTCGACACGTCTTACGCCTTTTATTAGAAGATTGGTCTTGATTGCTAAGTTTTGGTAGGGTAGCTGCTAATATCTGCTATCCGATCAAAAAATAAACAATTACACAATTAAGCCTGAAGGTCCACTTTTTTCCCATACGTTTTCACTTTCACGGGCATATGAAAATGTTTTCCATGTTCTAAAGCAGGTCTTTGGTAACAGTTTGACATCAATTTTCATACGGTATCAAATTTTCGCATGAAATGATACACAATGCAATATCAATCCTACTTCGTATCCATAACTATAGCGGCATGGAGATGATGGAGGTATATGTATGGAGAAATTATGGTGCCGTTTGGTAACACCCCTTTTCGGCTTATCAGGCTTATCAGCCAACTTTTCCACCAAACACGTAATTTTTACTTTAGCGTGCTGAATTGTGTAATAAGCAGAAAAAGTAAGGTTGGAGTTACTTTTCTGGCTGTATTGGCTGAAGTTACTGTAGATGACCATTTTAGCTATTTTTACATATAATTTTTTCTTTATTTTATTAATAAAATATATTTTAAAAATATTTTTTTCTTAAATCAGCAGAATCAGCTAATGCAGCCACTTCAGCCAGAACTTCAGAAATTTCAGCAGAATCAGCCAAACCAGCCGATTTTCCTTCTACCAAACGGGCTCTATAACTCTGGTTCAAATAAAGACGGAAAATTCAATTTTAAAAATTTGAATAAAAAAATACTCCGTAATAGATATGTAACCCCGGCTGAAATGTGAGAATGTTGGCAGAGAAAGTCTCATTTACTTTTGTTTAGCACGAAATCCAATGTAATAATGTGCGTATTGTATACGTAGAAGAGTAGCAAAAATGTAATACCTTCAAAAAAGTTTATACTCCTATTATATTTGAAATGTAATACCTTCAAAAAAGTTTACATTATACTCCGTATTTGACTTATGATGTTCGAATTGATATAAAATCAACTCTCCACTTCTATTTTTCAAATAAGTACTTGAAAATAGCCAAATTTTTATCATAAGGAAATGCACATACCGGCACACACCATATATTTATGGTGACATACCAATCTTAAACATAGTAGAGCCATTCATAAAATTACAACCCAAATGAGATAATTTCTACCATTCCTTCTCCATCTGAAATCTTTTTGTTTTTATTCCTTCAAATTATTACCAATTGAAGTCAGATTTTTGTCGATTTTTATTGGTTACCCATAAGAAATCGTACAAGTGACATTTATGCATACATTTGATTTAACAATGGAAAATCCATGTGAACTTATTAAGTTTTGCAATCAATTTTAATACGGAGTAGTATTTTGGGTTCTAAACAATAGACGCTATTAAAAAATTATTGCAAACATGCATTTTACTACATTCGTTCTATACCTACTTGATGCAACTCGCGTATCGCGCAACGATACAGTAAGAGCT